CGAATAACGTCGTTATGCGGCTGCGCGACTGCCGTTATACGGTAGTCGGTACGCCGGTAACATAAATGTGGTTTCGTAACATTTTTTTGGAAAATTTGCAGTCAGAAAACTAATTAATGAAATCGCTGCAGAATCGTAATTCTGGGGTCAATTTACAAATGTTATGATTTTCATCAGTCTTCACGCTTGTTTATACGAGACTGGTATTCAGTTAGTCAAAAGGTAATTCTGTTATAAATGAACATCGTGGAATTGGAAGAGTATGATTTATGTCTGCATACACGACGGAAGAATTTGTGATTCGCTTGACTTGAAGCAGATAGCAGTTCTTAATTAGCACGGAATGAAAAGATCAAATCATCAGTGCCTTCAGGTCATACATATCCTATTATCGATATTAGTACAAGAAATTGTTTTATTTGAGTATGATTAAAAGAAGAGTTGGTGACCGTTCGCAGAACATTAGCAAACGTAGCTTAGGAATTTTGCTAAGACTGTCATATTCTATCACTGATATCTGCCAAAGTTCTTGCATTCGAGCGTGGTCAGCTGATAGAGCTGCGATAAAGTACTTGACGATAACAGCATATTGTAACCGCATAGAAAGGTGACTTCTGCAAGTTCGTTGCAGCTTAAATCTTAGTGCTGTTTTCTTGTGTCAGATGCTGTTTCTCATGAAAAATTTGAAAAACAGGTTCTTCAGCGATTTTTATGAAGCGAACTTATCGCACGTGAAACCATGGACTGAGCGTTGTTTACGAGACGATCTTGTCTGCCGTTACGTGCAATTCCTCTGTTTGTACAGTTGAATATTCAACGCAATAGTTGATTATGGATCGTGGTTTCGTTCACCCTAGCGATACTGCCAAAATTTGGGCCATGACAGTTTCTAATCTCTTTTCGTTTAAACATGGTGCATCCGGAACTGACTAGACAGTATCATGTGATGTCAACTAGAAAACTTCTGATCGAGGCTGATAATTCATATAAAAAAAATTTCGATAAGGTATCATGAGGATAATGGTATATCAAATGCGTGTAAAAGGAGGATTGGCGAAAGTTTGTCGCGAGTTCACGCTTAGTATCTCTTTGACAAAAGGTGTTTCGAATGAGAAAGTAAAATAATAACATTCTTTAATAATTTTCATTCGCCGAATTCACTGTGATAGACAATGCTGGGCAACTGTAGCCACATCGGTGGAAACCCTTAATTTAGTAACTAATTATAGACCACATTTTGTTTACGTTGTATTTACCGAGCTCTACGTTGCTCGTCTGTAACATGCAGACGACGTTTAGTGCGATCATGCCTCTCTACAGCTGAATATTCAGTACAGCTGAATATTCAGTTCAGTATGTTGATTACTGCTTGTGGTCTTGCTAGGTCGGCGGACGCCGAGATTTAGACTGTACTCACCGTTGCGTTCAGTCAGTGGGGATTTTCAGAGAGTATAATGTGCAGTTTCAGAGGTAGGTTTGTAAATCTTTAATTTCGCTGGTGATCGGTACCTTAAGTGACTATATTTTCACAGTATTTTATAACGGGTTATTCTGATGGAAAGATCAACAAAACTTTAATATTAACGTGTTTTCAAGATTTGTGATGTCGGACCGCAGTTTTGAAGTAATGATGCGAGAAGTCGTTCGCTGCTTCGATAAACCTCATTTTTCACAGACATTGCTGGTTTCCTTTGCGTAGTGTTGTCGCGTTTGGCAATGGCCTATTAGACGAACGTTTTTCTAACAGATTTCTCTTCTTCAAGATTTTTCCACTTCTATTTTAGTTTTCAGTCATTTAATGTTGTCAAACCAGATGGCGGTCTCTGTGACCTTTTGGTCATGTTTTCAATCTTTAATAGTCGATACTTATTCATTTTCGACGTTCTCTTGTGGCATCACATTTTCATAGTGTTTCGCAGGTTGTGTTATTAGAAGTCGTCGTTCAGAGTGAGACCGCAAAAAATTTAGAAAGCGTGTTTTGGTTATCCATGTGTGACGTAGTCTTTGATTTAATTTACACTTTTGTAAACGGTATCCTTCCTCATACATCATTCTTTTTTACTGATCGATTCCGTTTCCTGAGCTTTTTCGGTTCTTCGTAAAATCTACAACTTGCCATCTGCCGTTTCTTATCGTTACTTTGTTTTTGTAGCATCGTTTCATTTTTCCTTTCACGTTTCCCTTCCTCAGTTCTGTAATGCTGTCGGTATTTAGAACAGATTCCTGCCTATTGGGTGGGTCTCATTTTCAGATGACTAAACCGAAACTGGCTGCTTTCGATAAGTTTTTCGGTTACTGCGTCTATGCGTAATTTATCTCTCAAAGTAGTATCTCAGATGCACGCCACACATCTCATCAAAACTCATTTTTGCAAATGTTACAGATATAATATGCATGCATGCACTAGCCTGTTTCTTTAACAGTATATCTTTATTAGTGGTTTCCTTGGGCAAACTTGATCCTTTTGGAACTTGACAGACGCGAAGCTAGATCTATCCTCTCTGCTCTGGTTTAAGTCTTGATTCTGGATGCATATTAGGTTTGCTTTTGGGATATTGGCCTTGCTGACACTAGCGATGGGTACTGTTTGGGCCGTCGTTTTTTCATGCGACATTGGGTGCAGCTTGACGTCTGTTACAACTTGATACCACTAACGAAATGGGTTGTAGCATTTGCCGTCCTGTGAAGCGGTACTCATTTTTCTGCCTCAAAAG